ACAGCAGAAAGCGAGGGGATGTAGGCCTGGTCTGCAGGTTTGGGACAAGTTTTCGTCGATGCCATTGCCTTTCCTGGCAGCGCTGGGTGATGTGTGGTAGACCCGAGACGCCGGTGCCCTTGGTCTGAACCAGCGTGCATCTATTTGGGGCAAAGAATAGTAGAAAGCAAAAGAACTGGCTAACACCGCAATTAACAAGCTGCACAGGTGGAAAACAGCACGCAAACAATTTCTGTAATTGCAACTTGCTTCTACAGTTTAATGCACTTAACGAACTTTTGACCCCTTTTCATCCTCACAACATATCCCAAGCTCAAAACCTAGCACAAGAGAAATATCAAGTAAGCACTGGGTGGACTAAACTGTTCCCGGAAAGGCATTGCACGCGGGGAAGTGTGTGGGTGTGGGTGTCGGGGCGAGGGTGGGGGATACGTTGCTTTAGTGTGAAAGCACAGCCCGGGGATAACATTTTAGGGCAGTCTCGCTTTAACTTGTTTTTGGTTGTACAAGCGTCAACAATGTTAAAACGACTTCAGACTGCGAATCAGGCCAACTACTAAGAGAATAAAATGCCCCTCTCACAGCCCCGTTCTGGATGACATCCCCTCACAATTCTGCCCTGGTATCGCCTAGCAGCAGGGAGAATGCAGTGACGAGTCATTCCCGCGCGCGCGACTGCAGTTTTCAAACAAGTCCGCACAGGCCTCAGTAACCGGAGCTTCCCTGGTAGCCCTCAAACAACATAAGAGCTTGTTTCCGGCTTGTGTCCAATAATGTAAGGGTTACATAGAAGGGCACGATTCGTCCAGCTTCTTTACCACCCTTTGTTACTTGCTTTCTTGAGAGTCTGTATTTACAAAATGCATTACGTAATTTCTAAGAATTTGAAAAAGGACACTTGAAACTATGCGTCTTAGAAGGATAGTCATTTATAACACAGGTATACAATCTTTCTCCAAGGTGAAGTTTTCGTAAGTGAAAATTTCTGGAAAGACATAAACTTTTCTTAGAGTAATAAACGTGGCTTCTAATCAAACAAAGCTTTTAAAAGAGAAAATATGCATGCAGAATTTTCTTGTTTAGATAATTTGTACCTCCCGTGTCTAATGGGTTAAACTGCTTCAAATGCAACAGAAACGCTCCATGCAAATGAAGGATGCTAGATCTCCTTTCTTAATGGCTATCCAGTATAATAAACTTAGCCAATGAGAAGGTAGAATCTGGGTTACCGCCTCTTCGTCTAAAAGGTCCTCATTCGGTGTTCTTAAAGTCGACTATTTTACGTGACATATAGGAACAGTCGTTGGCAATATTAAGCTGTCCTCGTTTTGGTCCGTAATCCATTCATAGGCCCTAGTCCCTCGCCTGCGCCTCATAGGTAACTCTGAGACGTTGTGCATGGCGTGATTGTGTGTCCGGCGTTTTACCTGGCTAAATGTATTCTAAACTTTAGAAAACTTAAGTTTCAGGAAGTTCTAAGTGTAAAGTCAGAGCATAAACAACACTTAACAAAGAAGTATCTTGTTACAGGAAATATTTCTGGAAACGCTAGTTTGATTTTACTATGCTTGAATTTACATCTTGTAGGTTTCAAAGAAGTTTCTCAGTTTAAGCGTTACAGAGGGATTTCTTTTTTTGTGAAATGGTTTTGGAAATTTATAATCCGTTATCGGGTTATCGAGCAGGGAATGTAGAATACATTAGGGCAATATTCTCTCACTCTCCCCTCCCCTCCAGAACCTAAATAAATATACAGCACTACAGTACCAATGAAGTTAAGGTCTGTTTTTTCGAAAAGGTAACGCTCAAGGCATTGCATTCTCATGAAAATCGTGGGCGGAAAAGAACAAAAAAACAATTTGAAAAGAGCCGAGGATATAACGTAGTGGCCAACGAAACTGAACGGTTTCTGGAAAGTTTAAATGTAGACCAATCAGAGCTTGTAACGTAATATTTAAACATTTTTCTCGCCCAATCACTTCACCTTAGGTACTATAAATACTTGCAAACTGGTGGGCGATGTTTTTGCGCTAATATTCGGTACGTCTGTGTATCTGTCACTTGTCATGGCTCGCACTAAGCAAACTGCTCGTAAGTCCACTGGCGGCAAAGCGCCTCGCAAGCAGCTGGCCACCAAGGCGGCTCGCAAGAGTGCGCCGGCCACCGGCGGCGTGAAAAAACCCCACCGCTACCGACCCGGCACGGTGGCCTTGCGCGAGATCCGCCGCTACCAAAAGTCCACGGAGCTTCTTATCCGTAAATTACCTTTTCAGCGCCTTGTGCGTGAGATTGCCCAGGACTTCAAGACCGACCTGCGCTTCCAGAGTTCGGCGGTGATGGCACTGCAGGAGGCATGCGAAGCCTATCTGGTAGGGCTTTTCGAGGACACCAATCTGTGTGCCATTCACGCTAAGCGTGTTACCATCATGCCCAAGGACATCCAGTTAGCCCGCCGGATCCGCGGGGAGAGGGCATAATTACAGCTTTTCTCTGAAATTTCAACCAAAGGCTCTTTTCAGAGCCACCCACGTTTTCAAGTAAGGGCTGTAAGGAGCTAACTTTCCAACTCAAGTTCAGTATAACTTTGCATCTGCTTGGGAATGAATAGACATGCATCAACACCTGTCGGATTATGGATAACTTTTGTCTAAATATCCACTGCATATGCGAACACACTGGCCCTTCATAAGTTTATGTAAATAGTACTGTTTTCTCTTACCTTAGTAAAGAGCCAGAGTTTCAGAGGCACGCGAAATGATTGGCATTTGCAGAGCATTTTAAAAACATGGCCTCGTATTTGTTGTGAAACACAGAAATATTATGAGTATAAACATTTTTACGTTTCTAACTTTGATCTTGATATTTTTACGATTATCAAAATTTATTGATAATAAATTTTCGTCTTTTTAAGTATTTCTTCTACTTAGGATATTTGGAATCATGTTTCCTCTTAAGCCTAATTCCTCCAAGTACAGTAGTTAAAACAGTAGCCCAGTCAAGGAAGCAGAGACTATTGGTCAAACTGACCGCTTCCCACCTGCCCCACCCGCCCCGCCCTTCCCGTCCTTCCGCGTGAGTTCCCGGGGCTTGGAGGCGGGATTAAGGGAGGGGACTGTTGGCGTCACACTTCCGGTTTGCGCGCTTTCCATTCTCTCTTTGGGGGAGTTGGGCGGGGGAGAGGTGGTAGGTATATAAGGATCCGCTCTCTCTTTCTTTGTCAGTTGCTGTTGGTTTGCTTCTTTCGAAACCATGTCTGGACGCGGCAAAGGCGGCAAGGGTCTGGGTAAGGGAGGCGCTAAGCGCCACCGCAAGGTTCTGCGCGACAACATCCAGGGCATCACCAAACCCGCCATCCGCCGTCTGGCCCGGCGTGGCGGTGTGAAGCGCATCTCCGGCCTCATCTACGAAGAGACCCGCGGGGTGCTGAAAGTGTTCCTGGAGAACGTGATCCGGGACGCCGTCACCTACACCGAGCACGCCAAGCGCAAGACTGTCACCGCCATGGACGTGGTCTATGCGCTTAAGCGCCAGGGACGCACTCTCTACGGCTTCGGCGGTTAATTAAGCTTTCCGATTTCGCCATCAAGAATTAGCATTTCTCAACCAAAGGCCCTTTTCAGGGCCACCCAACTACTCATAAAAGAAAGCTGTAACCATTAGCCAAGGCACAGGAGTCTGCAGCTCAATGGTGTGGTTAAAATGAAAACTACTGAGTCAGAAAACATTGCGGAGATTAATGTCTATATATCCATGTAACTCCCACTCTCGCCTCCACTCACTGGACACAGGTAGGGGGTAAAGGTGATACTCCAACTTGCTAAAGAAAAGTGGGAAAGAACCAAGTATGGCGAGAAACTTGAATCGGTTTGCAGGAACAAAGAGAAGCACTGCCCAATCAGCAAGCCCCATTCATGGATTTCAACCAATCAGAACTGATGATCTCATGTGGTTCCCCGCGGCGACCCAAATTTGGGGGATGGGAAATCGGGCGAGAAACGCCAAAGCCCTTTAGAAAATTTTTTTAATTTGTGTTTTTACGGGTTATGAAATAGACTCCGACGAGACATCTGAATGGCTCTCAGTCATGTCCTGAGAACAGTACTGAAATTACCGCCTCTAATAGGATGATTTGTCTCGATTAAAAAAATAATCTCTAGGGCTTCCCTGGTGGCGCAGTGGTTGAGAGTCCGCCTGCCGATGCAGGGGCCACGGGTTCGTGCCCCGGTCCGAGAGGATCCCACGTGCCGCGGAGCGGCTGGGCCCGTGAGCCATGGCCGCTGAGCCTGCGCGTCCGGAGCCTGTGCTCCGCAACGGGAGGGGCCGCGGCAGTGAGAGGCCCGCGTGCCGCAGGAAAAAAAAAAAATTCAGACTGCCAGCAAACCCAGGGCATTGAATTCAGGCGAAATTAAAATCTCGTTTACGAAGAAAACGCACTTCCTTCTCTTTCGGTGTCAACACAGCCCTCAGCAGTTAGCTGTACTTTTTTCCTTACTTCACAGAGGAATGGAAATTAGGGTGATGGAAATGTTCTAAAATTAAATAGATTGTAGTGATGGTTGTACAACTAGGTAAATATACTAAAATTCATTGAGTTGTACACTTAAAGTGGGTGAATTTTATGGTATGTAAGTTATATCTCAATAAAGCTGTTTTACATATATGTATATGTATGTGTATATGTATGTGTGTGTGTGTATATATATGTATATATATACATATATATATACACACATATATAATCACCAGGCAGGGTAGCAGGAGATTGTTTGTAGGGTAGGCACTGTTGGTCTGTGAAGAGGTTCTCTTGCTAAAGTTGAAAGTATGGCCTGCTTGGTCTAGTCTGTCATTATAGCCACAGGAGGTTTTAAGCAAGAATGTCCCTAGTCCAATTATATATTCCAGTAGCATACCAGACTTTAGAACTCAGCTGGAGAAAGGATGCGAATTCACTTGAAGTTGGCTAAAAGGAAAACAGCTTATCCTCATCTAAAAAGATATTCACAAATGCCTCTGTCATTGGGTTCCTTTTTGTATCATTTTTATAGAAGGCTGATTTCAGCCTCGGTGTGTTAGTTTCAGTCAATAATTCTCCTAGCTTTTTTGGTCCCATTTCCCACCTGATAACTGTCCTCCAAGATTTTGGGGGGAATGATAAAAGTACAGAGGCTGGCTTAATTTAAACTGTCAATGGGGAGAGTTCAAGGCTGCATTCTAGATGACCAGAGGAGCAAAAATGGGCCTGGTTGGGATAGTGGTCACTTTATGTTTTCCTTAGCTGGTGTCCTGGTGTCTGTCAGGAGATATGTATTGATTTCATGTAATGTGCCTGATAGTGTTGTAGGCATTGGGGTACACCAGTAAGCAAATTAGAATTTCCTGTCCTCCATTCAGAGCATATGTAATGAAGTGTGTGGATAGTTTTCCTGCACTGGAGGGAGGTGTGGTTGCTCCATAGACCAGCTTCTGTTATGGCTGGCCTGTTTTTTTTAGTTCATAAGCCGTGTAGATAGTATCACACTCATTTTAGTCACACCCACTACCTGAGTGAAAAACCTGTGAGCCTTCCTCAGGCCTAACAGTCATGAAGTCCTTGTTCAGAGCAAAGATAATGCTGCCTGATTTGCCACTCCTGCAACATTCCTAAGAGCCAGAGAAAACCTGGCATGCTGACTGATTCAGACAGTGCCAAGTCAAGGAATTGTAGATGGGGGATCAATTATGGCAGCCCTCTGGTGGGCTAGGGGGGTGGGAGAGGGCCTGAACGCTTGTGTAGAAAATTCATGCATGCATTCATTCAACTCTGCTATGAAAGGACACAAGGGAAGACAGCAGTCTATGAAGCAGGAAATGGGTCATCAGACACCAGATCTGTCTGAATCTGTCCAGTGCCTTGATCTTGGACTTCAGTCTCCAGAACTGTGAGAAATGTTTGTTGTTAAAGCACACAGTCTATGGTGTTTTTATTATAGCAGCCTGAACCAAAACGCCATTTTATGGATATAGATAATATTTTATCTGGTCCCTTCTCATGACAATTTACATTGTTTCCACTCTTTTACCATTACAAACAATGTGCTGCATTAAACCATGTTTAAGTTCTTAGTGATCTCATCCAGTCTCACCGTTTGTATGTTGATGAGTCCCAAATTTTTTATCTAGTCCAGACCTCTCACCTGAACTTTAGAATCTCGCTTTCCCAACCAGCTAGTCAGGTGTCAAGAGAGAGACATTAGCAGAGTAACGAGGCAGCAAAGCGTCTTCTAAAGCAGCCATCAGTACACGCTTTTCAAACATTAAATCAAAGATGCTGATTATTGTTAGCTGGTTTATCAATTTGAGGACATACTTTAAAAATCCTTTTATAATAACATAGTCATGTTTGAAAGTTTCATTAAAAAAAATACAGTTTACTGCAGACAGAGGAAAGAGATAAGCTGGAAGGAAGGTGAAGGTGCAAGAGAGCCACTTAACCACAAAGGAGGGAGCTTCTCCCTTACAACCTCAAAGGCCCTGACAGAGGCCTAGGGGTTCAGAACAGACTCCCTTAGTCTAGTAAATGGGAATTTACAAACTCTGCTTAGCTAGAGGCTTAGGGAGGGCCCCAGCCTGAGGATGAAAATCAGCAATACCGAGGCATTTTTAAACCCGAGATCACTGGCTTTACGGGGGGTGACGACACTCAGCATGATGCCTGGCTCAAACTCTAGAGGTACCTGAGGCCAAGGTCTGGGGCGCGACCCAGCGGAGGACGGGGAGGTGCTGGGAATGGAGAGATCATAGAAGGCAGATCTTTCCTGACTTTGCTAAAGGCAAATACACTAGGAACTACCAGCTGGCGTCTTGCTCGCAATGCATTTTAACTGATCCGGCTTCTGACTTCTCGTGAGCGAAGCAGCACCCTCGCAGGTTCTGGCAATTTGTACAAATATTTACTGAACCCTCCCAGGACCAAAAACAAGATCGGCGGCGACTCAGTAATGCCCGCTTCCCAAGAAAGAAACCGCCTCCTCGACGAAACTCCGGCTGGCAGTTGTCGCTCCTTTTACAGACTATGTGAGGTAGGCAGGATCCCTCCCACTAGAAAAAGCCGGGGACGCCGGGCCATAAGTCCTTCATTGAGGTTACCGGGACTTCCAGACCCCTCTCATTAGCTTTCCTTAGTCCAGTGTTAGCCCCACCCACAAGCGAGCCCTTGCAGCCTGATTAGGCAAAGGTACCCCTACTCTTAGCAGGTACCCAAAGACTGGCTGATGGAGACCGGCAGTGAAAGCGAACCGTTTGGCCTGTAGATAAGGCCACGTTAGCCTTAAAACAGAACCACTTTTTTTCCAACAGATATGTTTTGAATACGGAAGTCGCGTACAGCTCTTCCTGAGCGGAGGTGGGCGGCCCTGAAAAGGGCCTTAAAAAAAAAAATGTACAGAATGAGACTTTAGCCGCCGAAGCCGTAGAGAGTGCGTCCCTGGCGCTTGAGCGCGTAGACCACGTCCATGGCGGTGACAGTCTTGCGCTTGGCGTGCTCGGTGTAGGTGACGGCGTCCCGGATCACGTTCTCCAGGAATACCTTCAACACCCCGCGGGTCTCTTCATAGATGAGGCCGGAGATGCGCTTCACACCGCCACGCCGGGCCAGGCGACGGATAGCTGGTTTGGTGATGCCCTGGATGTTGTCGCGCAGAACCTTGCGGTGGCGCTTAGCGCCTCCCTTACCCAGACCCTTGCCGCCTTTGCCGCGTCCAGACATGATTGTCTAAATTATCGCAAACGTACAGGATGCAACAGGTTACTGCTTGGTCAAGAGTAATTATAAGCTAGAGTCGGACCTCGTTGAGAACTGAAAGCGCAGGCGGGAAGAGGCACTGACAGCGCCCCTTTGGCTCCGCCCCTCTCGGCAGTGATCCAATGACTATGTGGGAGAGAGAAGCTAGTAAAGAGGTTCACTTTTAAACTCTGGATTGTTTTGCTCCCTTTGCTCTGCATCTGAGGCTGTTTATTTCTTCGGCTGAGAATTCTAGTGGAGGCTTATACAGTATTTTATGGCAAATACTGTACTTTCTCATTCAGGAGGAAGTGATTGTTAGTTGCTAAGGGTAGCAGAATATGACTCCCCATTCCCCCGCTCCCATATGCTTCCTTGGCAGAAGGAGTATTTTTGAGCTGATTATTTTTTAAAAAGCACCATACACCAAAACATTTCTAAAAACAGAGTAGAATTTACTCTTTTGTGAGGGACATTTACATTTATAAAGGGAATTTTAAATTGTGTCTTTTTCTCTGTACCAGGAAGAGAAGGATGACTAAATCACTAGAGAATCTCATCAATGAGGAGGCACTAGAATTAATTCTGTATAACAACCTTACCCTCGTTGTTCCTTTTCCTGGTAACCTCTCATAACTGGCTCCCACCCACTTCTTAGCTGAAGATGGTATTTAAGGTGGTGGCTTGGGTCAATATTGGGAGTTTACTCAGTTTTTCTAGGTATTTCTCAAGCCTACGTGAGGTATACATGTTATTAAGCTTCTGTTTGCTTTTCTCTTGTTAATCTACCTTTTATACAGCGGTTCTCAGCCAAGAACTTAGAAGGGTAGAAGGAAAGTTATTTTCCCTCCCTCATAGGTATGTTGATTATTTTGAGCTGTAGCAGAACAGCAAATGCAGAGGGAAGATTTCTCTGAACTCCCATTATCTGCCTAAAGACAGACCCTCCAAAAGGAACTCAATTGTCATAAATCCCTTCCCAAGGAGTTTCATTAACTAGGGAAGAGTGACACTTATCTGAGGAAAGGACACTAAAAATTGACACCACACCCAGACAAACCTTGGCACAAACTATTGTCCACAAAAATTAATTGTCAATCTAAGAAAGAAATAGAGGATTTTATTAGAGCCAACCTGAGGATTATAACCTGGGAGACAGTCTTTCAGAAAACTCTGAGGACTGTTCTGCTTGTCAGAGGTTAAAGCACAGTTATATGTTTTTGAGACAAAGAATCATATATCAAAGTTACATATTGAGTCTACATAGTCCAGACCTTCGTGAGTAGTGGGGCATCACAATCCCTTACAGGATTGAGAAAGGAATGTTATCCCCTAAGGAGTTAACCTTGCTGGAACCAGGAGAAAATTGCTCTTTTCAATGAAGCAGGCATTCCTGTGTCTTCTAAGGAAGTCTGGTCAATCTGTAATGTGCACAATGCACACTAAAGAGGGGTAGTGGCCCAAATAAGCAGAGAGAAAATTTTATGTTTAGAAATTTTCTTGTCCTGCCTTAAACATAATTTTATTCTATCCTGTCATACCTCTCCCATCTATTCTTCTAAGGGCCCAATCATCTTTCCTAAAAATTATTTACTCTCCCCTAAGAGGCCTATATACACACCACCCCCCAACCCCTCTTCCCTATTAAGATGGTGTTTAAGTCTGAATTTTAAGCCACCTTGAGGAGTTACTCATTTTTCCCTGGGTATCTCCCACATATACATGAGGGCTTCTGTTTTGTTTTTCTCTTGTTAATCTGTCTTTTATTTCAGGGGTCTCACAGAGGGAAAATTATTTTTCCTTCCCTACAGCTGTGTGACCTTTAACCTTGCCTTTGTTTTCTTTATCTGTAAAACTGGGTAATGATAACACTGATGGAACTCTAGTGAAGATTTAATTTAGCTATTGTAAGCAAAGCATTGGAACAGAGATTGGCCCATGAAGTCCTATATAAATGTGACTTGTTTTCGGTTGGTATTATTTCTTAAAGAATTTTCCTGGACTTGAGATATTGCCCTGAGGTCTCATCTTTACTCCTAACACAGTATCAATCACACAAATATGCATTTACTCATGAGGATTGTTTTTTTTTAAATCACAGCATCTAATAAAGCACAAAGTATCAAAGCATTGTTTTGTTTTTCATACGACATGTTAAACATGGTGGGTCCAAATATGTTCCTTTGGGCCCTCTCCCAAGGTGCACTGACAATCTCAGGCTTCTAGCTTTCCTGCAGCCAAGCCTGGGGTGCTGTTCAAATCTCCATACCAGTTTCCCACTATTGTGTTAAATCTCTTGAAAACACTCATTGAGCAGTAACTCACTTCTACTGGGACAACTGGAAAGGCTACTACTAAATTTTTAAGTCTGAAAGATTTACCCTGACCTTGACTTCCTCCTCCTTTCCTTTGAGAGACTTTATAACAAACCAAAACTCATTCTAGACTCCAACAGCATTAGCTGTAAACTTCAACCTGTGGTGTAACATCACTCTGTGGGCCTGGGTAAGAAAAACCCTTTCTGACTGAAGACCTTGCAGCAGCCATTTAAAAGATACAATCTGTACATTAAACACCCCCTTTTGTCTTCAGCCTGACCTTAGTCACTCCCCTAATATAAAATAATAGATGCTTAATGCAATGATATTAAAATGCTGGCACCATCCCCCTGCTCAAAGTGTTCAGTAAATTTTCTTTCACAAATTTGATTTTCTTCCACGTTTGATTTTAAAATGTCTGAATTTTATTTCTAAACTGAGCAGAATCTATGCAAGTAAGTAATGCCAAGTAAAAAGGAAATTTAGAAGCTAAAGTTTGTCTTTATTTCAAATTTCGAAAAATCCTAGAGTATGACAGAAAATGATACACAGTTCAGGAAAATTAATAGCATTTATATGATGCTATGTGTCCCAAACTTGATGCATATTATTCTAATAACAACCCTACGAAGTGGGTAGTGTTACCCCCATTTTTTCTGATGGTGGAGAAATTGATTTGTCTAAGATGACACATGAAGTAGTAAAGCTGGGATATGAACCCGGGTAAGCTAGCATCCAGATGCTGCCAGCTTGCAGAGTATACCCTAGAAAAATTAACAAGGTTATGAATTGTAAGACTGTGTCAACCTTTTTCCCTAGATACTGCACAGTTGTTCTGTTGAGGGGCTCAAGTAAATGAAGACTTAAAGCCAAATCCATGTTCCTTGGCTGGGAAGGGGAAGGATCAGCCAGTCCCAGCCATTGTCCCCTGCCTATCTGATCCTCAGAGAGCAATGGGCACTTTTACTTTTTAAAAGCTATCCTATCAGGCCCTGTACATAAAACTCTTTTCCCAAGATACATAAAATATTAAAGGAAAAAGTCAAACAGTGTACATAAGAGCCAGCACAGCAATAAACAAGAAAAACCAAGATACCTGGACTTCAGCAGGGGCCAAAAGCTGAGGGGCAAAATCACCTTGGTTTAAGCCAAGGGCATTGGTGCCTCTGACAGACCTCTTATACGGGTAACAAAGATCTGTGCCAGGCAAAGGCTTATACTAGTCTGGAAAAAATAAAATGTTAAAATAAAACAATATACAGAGAGAAATATCTTTGTCATTAAAAAAATACATTATTTTGTAAACCAAAAGTTTTTATTGAAACCCTGAAATGTAAATAAATCCAAGTGAACAACACAACACCCATTACTGTGTATTTTGTGGGTTTTGTTTTAGGTGGGAGTTGGGCAAATTATTTTAGCAAGGTGAATCAATTCTCATCTCAGAGGTAGGCAGACTACTAGGAATAGGGTATGGAAAAAACTGAAGCAAAGCCTTCAGAATTGGTGGCTGTCATGTTTTTCAGCATTCTGTATTTTATAGTTTGTAAAATATAGTGTAAAAGCTACACAATAAAAAGGTTATTTTTCTTCTCACATTTGGTCACTATCCATGTGTCACTTTTCACCCAGTACTGAATCCCCAAGCCGAAAAAACGTAAAAGCAAGATCACCGAGTCAAATGGCTAAAGTCCTATATTTGAGTAAGAACTACAGCAAAGAACTGTGAAAAAATTGTACAGCATAGCATACCATGGTACATAGCCCTAGAAGAGACAAAAGCAATGTGAGATAAAGCAATACAATCAACTGGACTATTTACAAGCAGGGACATAATTAAATAAGGTTTGATAAACTATGCTTGGACGGCTACCTGTTAAGGAAATATGGTTAGACCCTCGCCTCACAACTCCAGGAACGTCTGGCTGTGGCGGAAGGAGTTGGGACGGGAAGAATTCTACCCTAATCCACCCTTGTTAAGGGGATAATTTTACTTCCTTACGGTACAGCTCTTCAAAATGAAGTTGTAGGTGGCTCTGAAAAGAGCCTTTGGGTCTAAGATTAGCACTTAACGGAAAAACAAGTTTACGCCCTTTCACCACGGATGCGACGGGCAAGCTGGATGTCCTTGGGCATGATAGTGACGCGCTTGGCGTGGATGGCACACAGGTTGGTGTCCTCGAAGAGCCCCACCAGATAGGCCTCGCACGCCTCCTGCAGCGCCATCACGGCCGAGCTCTGGAAGCGCAGGTCGGTCTTGAAGTCCTGCGCGATCTCGCGCACCAGGCGCTGGAACGGCAGCTTGCGGATCAGCAGCTCCGTGGACTTCTGGTAGCGGCGGATCTCGCGCAGGGCCACCGTGCCGGGCCGGTAGCGGTGCGGCTTCTTCACGCCGCCCGTGGCCGGTGCGCTCTTCCGGGCCGCCTTGGTGGCCAGCTGTTTGCGCGGGGCCTTGCCGCCGGTGGACTTGCGAGCGGTCTGCTTAGTGCGAGCCATGACAAAACGCCACGATGAGTGTTCTCCCAAATGGCAGGGGAAAGCACTCAGCCGTCCTTCTTTTATACAGCCAGGCCACCAACTATTGGACCCAAGAACATTCGAAAGTACCCGCGCCCTCCTCTGATTGGTCCATTTCTGTGCCTGGCCCCGGAAGAATTAAGAGCTGCTTTCGGGTTGGTGAGTGAATCCTAAACCCTGCCCTTTAACTATAGCGACTCCGACGCCCTGACGTCATTTTATTTACGCTTTCGCTTCCAAAACGTACAGCAAAATTACACAAAGCAACGCGGGCACCGCCAACGGATTGATTTTTTGTGTAATTTTTTTTTTTTTTTTTTTTTTTTCCGGGACTCGGGCTTCTCACTGTTGTGGCCTCTCCCGTTGCGGAGCACAGGCTCCGTACGCGCAGGCTCAGCGGCGATGGCTCACGGGCCCAGCCGCTCCGCGGCATGTGGGATCTTCGCGGATCGGGGCACGAACCCGTGTCCCCTGCATCGGCAGGCGGACTCTCAACCACTGCGCCACCAGGGAAACCCTCTTTTTTCTTTTTTTTAAAGTACAATCACCAAAGATATTTTGGAAGTGCTTAGAAAAATTAGATGGGCTGCCATCTAAAATGATACTCAGATTTTCCTGAGTCTGGCACAAACATTGTGGAGTCAGGAAGATGTTTCTGACACGAGCGCGAAGTACCAAGGATCTGTAATTTACTCAATCCCTTCAGGAAATGTGTAATGTTTTTGTAAAGTTGAATAGATGCAGAGGTTTTGGGTGTTCCTTTGAGTCAACAAAAAATGTTGAAGGTTAATTTTAAATACAGCGCTTTTCACTATACTGAAAGTGAGTATACTTTCCTCACTCCAGTGCGAAAAACTTTACAAAAGTCACCGCTGGAACAAAGAGGAAAGTAGTTTGACTATAAACTGATTCACCTGTAGTTAATCAGGTCAATTTAAACTCGTGTGGCTTTCCTCAGTCATTTCGCATACTCTTTACTGACTTCCCTCGGGACACTCACTTATGAGCTGTGATTTTTCACCTGATGTCACAACCCTCATATGGGCAGAGCTGAAAAGCATGACAGCTCTTTAAACGAAAAAGGTGGGTGGCTCTGATAAGAGCCTTTGTAAGTTGCCTTTTTTTTCTTTTGGATAATGAAAAGCAAAATTGCCGTGCAAAAGTAATAAACACTTTACTTGCCCTTGGCCTTGTGGTGGCTCTCAGTCTTCTTGGGGAGCAGTACCGCCTGGATGTTGGGCAGGACACCGCCCTGAGCGATGGTCACGCGCCCCAGCAACTTGTTAAGCTCCTCATCGTTGCGGATGGCCAGCTGCAGGTGGCGCGGAATGATGCGCGTCTTCTTGTTATCGCGGGCCGCGTTGCCCGCCAGCTCCAGGATCTCAGCCGTTAGGTACTCCAGCACCGCCGCCAGGTACACCGGCGCCCCGGCACCGACACGCTCGGAGTAGTTACCCTTGCGGAGCAGGCGGTGCACCCGGCCTACGGGGAACTGGAGCCCAGCTCGCGAGGAGCGGGTCTTAGCCTTAGCACGAGCCTTGCCACCCTGTTTACCACGACCAGACATAACTAACACACCACAACTTAAAAGCCTTCAAAATAAAAAGCAAACAATAAACAACACAGCGGCGAGAGCAATATTTATACTAACCAGAGGCAGGCTTGTGCTATTCTCCCATTGGCTACTATTTAAGAACCAATGGGAAATCAGAACCTGCATCCTTCATTTGCATACAAGGCTTCCGTCTAGTGTGAGTTTTCTGTTTGCTCCAATCTCATACAGTCTGGTGGGCTTTTAATACTGTTAATAATGGAGTCTATTTGGTTTTTTCAAAGCACTGTTCTTAAATGCAATCAGAAGCAGGAGTGATTATTCTTATTGTTCTGACTTTTTGCTATTGAAATTGTGACTCATGATTTTTGGAAAGGAACCAGCACAATTTAGAAACAATATTTAAGAGGTAGGTACTTCTATGCCCAGTGTTACTTTAACTCTTCTAACTCTTTAACTCTTTTGACAGGAAAGAGGGAGAAGAGGAAACAAAAAATTTTTTGTCCCGGCCCAAGTCTTAAACTATCTGAACAATGAAAACTGAAGGCAAGAACTGGATGATCCAGCAAGTCTTCCGTTTCATTCATAGCTTGCCTATGAAGCCTTCCAGGATCACCTGGGAGGTATGTAGAGTGAGTACTGTCCTCATTTTAGAGATTGCGAAACTGAGAGACCCAGTTTGTTTGCCTTTGCCAAGGTTAATGGGACCAAGGACAATAAAATCCTGTCTGAAAAACTTTGTCGTCGTTCCCCAGTGCCACTCTCAACCTTCCTACCCTCCCTCTTTTCTCACTTGGCTGCCACACACAAGATTCTAATTACTTTAGAAAACTCCTTCATCATTCTCCATAGCGTTTCACTCTCTTGCAGTTAGAGTGAAAATTTTGCAGCACGTAAGGACTCCTAAGAAATGAGAGAGAAAAAACACACTACAGCACATAAATACTCAAAATGAGATTACAGTATATTACTATAAAACACTATATTAATATTACTACAGGGTGTTTGGTCTTACGATCTCATGTTGAGGAACATAAAATTAAGATAAATTACCGAGGGAGATCTTGCCGTTTTTTCTTTTAATGGTCCATGAAATAGAAATAGATGGGGCCCAGATGGAGGCGGATTACTATTACAGGAATTTTTGAGGACTCTAGCCTAAAAGTCTACTAACTAACAGAATGGTAAAAGGAACAAGAGCCTGGGTGTGAGGAAATTACTTCTAAACCAACTCGGTCAGAGAACTATATTTTGATCCAGGCAACCAAGCAGGAGAGTAAAGATGCTCATTTCCTGTTTCTTTTTTACCTTCTCTCAAGTCTTTTGACTCCTATGACGTTTTCTCTTAACAATATTCACTTCCTTTTTATTATTTATTATTATCTTCACCATGGACAACAGCAGTATACATCAACACTGGCTCAGTGTCTGAAATGTTTCAAAACCCGTGATGCAGATGTAAAAAGGTATCTCAGATGCTGCCTTGAAGACTTCATACTCTCTTTTGAAAAGGGCAGGGGGCGGGGAGCTGGGGGGTTGTATACCTGAAGTTTAAATAGTACAGCATTTTTTGCATCCAAAACTGAAGGTTTTAAGCAATAAATATAAGAGCACATGGAGAAGAGTAATCACTGTGAATTAGAAGGGTTAACAACTCGAAAGAGATGTACATTTAGCATTTATTCAACATAAATAAATAGTGCCAGAGTGTTCTAGGTGATGGCATGGTGTGCCCTTGGGGTCGCTGGGGAGGAAAAAATTTTCCTCTACCCTTCTAGGTTCTTCTGGCTGGTCTAAGAATTAAATTGACATGAGACAAATTAACAGGAAAAAATTAAATTTCATTTCATTTGTGGGTCGGACACAATAAGAAAAGTGAGACCCAAGGACAAGTTAGGCAGTTGAGGCTTATGCCATCTGAGAGAAGAGGTTACGGGCTTGGGACTTCAAAGGGTAGGAAGGCAATCCACAGGAAGATGAAAAAAAGAAAATGTTTTGTGAACAAATGTTTGCTGGGCCAAACAGAAACAATGGCACCCAGAAAAAAATTTTAATGAACAGTCTTTGCTAGGTTCCCCCCTGTCTGCACACCTCGTTCAAATTATACTGTAGTTATCTAGGGTGAGACCTGCCTTCCTGGAACAGGTTCTGTATCTAAAATTCTTTTAGGCATTTAGGGGGAAGGTCAGAGTTTCTTCTTGCATCTTTTGGGCCTTGATTGCTTTCAGCTCTAAATTCTCTGCATGCCAAAGTGGCACATCTTGGGAAGGCCTGCCCTGAAACCCATCACTGCCATATCAGTTTAATTATTAGACCAACCGAAGAAAATTGTTCCCCCTCCTACAGAGGCCACATGGGGATCCTGGACTTCCACCCCCTACCCAGCAATAATGAGGCACCTCTTCCCTGTCAATGTCAAACAGGCTGAGCAAGAAACTTGGATGCCACTCCCACCTGACAATGAGGCAGTGCCCCTCCTTCTACCCCAGGCGGGAAGGGGGCTGGGAAGGAGGGGGAGGTCTCTTAGAACCATAAATTTAAATAAGATCTATCTAGAGTCTCATAACAATACCCAAAATGCCCAGGCTAAGTTTATTTTAAAAAAAGATCACTGTCATACCAAAGTCTCCATTTGAGTGAATAAAGATAATCAACATATATTAAGACCAAGAGACACATATGTTAGAATTCTCCAACTAGGATTCTAAACCAGCCATCATAAAAACACTTAAATGAGCAAAGTTGGTGCCTCGTCGGAATCAGCTGGGGAGACGTATGAATTTTATTTCTGGCTTCTCACAATTCCCCACATAGTTTTGGAGTCTAGCCCTGAGTCCAGGAATCTGATTTTTAATTTCCTTTTTGCTTGTTAAAGATCAGCCAGGTATCAGTATAGATGTCAAAAGGACCTAGCTTTGAGTTTAGGGGACCCAGGTTTTGGTTTGGGCTTCTTATTTAAGGGTATAGTTTTAGGTAAAATATCAACTATTAGGAAGAAGCGGGAGAGAGGAGAGAAGAAAGATAGAAGCAAGCAAGTAGACAAATATTATGAAAGACAAGATGGGGAAAAAATAATTCTTATCTCAGGAGATCATTTTGAAGAGGCTGAGATATTATTTCCCAGATCTCACTCCTCCAGGGAGTGATTCTTAAACTGCAGCTTGAGTTCAATATTTTTTTTTTACGGGGTGGGGGGGTAGTTATAATCTAAAAAACAAAAGTTTAACTTCTAAGACAAGCTTCTCTTTCACAACTATGTTTTCTGTACGCTGAGATAAATGCTTCTCATATAGCGGTCAGCTGATTTGTGTGGGAGCTGGGAAAAGATCATTTAAATTTAAATTCTCTTTTAAAAGTGGTCCTTTTTGAGAAATTCTACTTCAAGTTTTACTTCTTCATCCAGACACACTGTTGTGTGTCACCTACATACGGTGCTCATAAACCAAAGGAAAAGACTTTTCCCAACCTTTTTAATAGGCAGTCAACTGCTGCCCCTTTTCCCGGCTTTTTCCCCTCCCCCAGCCCCAGGCCTAGCCCAGCCGTAACTGACTCCTTTTCCTCAACCAAGGCCCTTCCTATCGGGATTATTTTTGGAGTCGCGGGTATTTTGAAAAAGGTTTCCAAGGAAAATCAGCACATTTTCCTCTCCAACTGGGGCCCTCCCGGTCTGCGACGAGGTGACACCAGATGGGGAGGGCGGGAAATTCAAATCCTTTGTCCCTCCTCGAGCTGGAGTGCCACCCTTTCAAGCTCTTCTAGTGGCATCCCTGAACGGTAAGTGACCCAAGAAACGGGAGCCCAGATTTCAGGAATGAAAGAAAAATTGCAACGGCTTTAGATTGGCTGTTGCCATCAGTAAACAATTCTAACGCGAAATTAGAAAATCTCACTTCAACCATGTGAAGAGAGCTTGAGGTAGTACCCTATAGAAGTGCCCACAGCTTGTTAAAGGAACAACAATTTTGCTTACTGTTTCTACAATCCCAGGGGAGTTCAGGCTCCCGGAGAAAATGCCACTACCTGCCCTCTGTTCCGTCGGGACCCCCCCCCCCCCCCCCCCCCCCCCCCCCCCCCCCCCCCCCTCGCCCCCCGCCCCCCCGCCCCCACCCCTGAAAAGACAGCCTGGATAATCATCTCCTCAGGGTCTCTACTCTGAAATCCCCTAACCGCTTCCTTACCAAGGAGGGACATTCCCATCACCATTAGAAATTTCAGGAGGCTTTGTAGAAAGGAGTGAACACTTCCAACAGCTTAATAAGCATCTGGAAGTTTAATCCTTGGGGAAAAGATGAGGGTTTTTGGGTAATGCGACACAGTAACTCATGTGTTTTAAAGCCGATAAACCTTCCAAGTCGCTTGGGGCTCTGGCTCCAAAACCGCTTCAACTATCAACACCACGGGAAAAAACACCTGAAAGTAAATGTAACCAGTAGAGAATTGCATTCATCCATCAAAAAACCGGAAGTTTCAGCTCTTCTTCGACAAAGTGGGTGGCTCTGAAAAGAGCCTTTGGATTAAGTACCTATACAAGCACTTACTTGGAGCTGGTGTACTTGGTAACGGCCTTAGTGCCCTCGGAAACAGCATGCTTGGCCAGCTCCCCAGGGAGCAGTAGGCGCACAGCCGTCTGGATCTCCCTAGATGTGATCGTGGAGCGCTTGTTGTAATGCGCCAAGCGCGACGCCTCACCCGCGATGCGCTCAAAGATGTCGTTGACGAACGAGTTCATGATACCCATGGCCTTGGATGAGATGCCGGTGTCTGGGTGGACCTGCTTCAAAACTTTGTATACGTAAATGGAGTAGCTCTCTTTACGACTACGCTTGCGTTTCTTCCCGTCTTTCTTCTGCGCCTTAGTGATGGTCTTCTTAGAACCCTTTTTAGGGGCCGGAGCAGATTTAGATGGCTCTGGCATAGTTCTTCCGAAGAGCTGTAGTAAAGGTTAAATCGCCTTCTCCACAACTAAAACTAGTAGTGTGAAGAGTTCAGAACCCATATATTTATAGTCGTTCAACGCAAATGAACAATCAAGAAGTCTCACTTTTGATTGGATAAGAGTAGTACAGGTTCACTAAGGGCGGGAGGGGCGTGGTTTATGCAAATGAAGGATACACAATTTGTTTTTCTATTGGATAGAAAAACAGCATACTTTTGACCAATCGGATAGCTTGCTGGGGCATCCCTGTACTGTCTGTAAAATGATTTGTTCATATGTCATCCAGCGTTTATTCCTTTTGCTCACAATGTTTGCTGTTAAATTGTATAAGGTAATTACGTCTGGACGTGGTGAATAAGTAGGCAAGATTCGAGCTAAAGCTAAAACTCGACCTTCTCCAGCTGGTTTGCAGTTCCCAGTAGGCCGCGTACACTGGTTGCCCCGTAAGGGCAACTACTCTAAACGGGTCGGTGTCGGGGCCCCCGTGTACCTGACGGCCGAGATTTTGGAGCTGGCGGGCAGCCCGACCCGCGACAAGACGCGGGTCATTCCGCGCCACCTGCAGCTGGCCATCTATAATGAGGAGGAGTTCAACAAGCTGCTCGGTAAAGTCACCATCGCTCAGGGCGGCGTTCTGCCCAACATCCAGGCTGTGCTGCTGCCCAAGAAGACTGAGTCACCGCAAGACCAAGGGCAAGTAAAGCCTAGACAAAATACGAAATTCTTTTTTATAAACTGTCTAGAGGTTCTTTTCAGAGCCATCTACATTTTCATTTAAAAAGCTGGTAGCCAGGTATCTATCTCTGTTTTGTAAAAGACAAAGTGACGTCAAAACACTGACTTCCAGGGAAACTGGACTTCCCACAAGCATTATTTTAGTGCGTACCGGGTGAAACTTCCGTAGTCAACAAAAGCGTTTCTAAAGAGGAGGCAGAAGCATCGCTCGGGCTTGAGAATAACAAAAAGCAAAGAAATTTTCCTTTTGCCAGTAATAAACCTGTTCGGGCTTTCAAGGTTGTAAATTTAAGCAAAATCTATTTTTTTCTGACGAAAGTTTGGTTGCAGTCCAGTGTGTATCTGTCATCAAATCGGTCTTTACATGTGATTTTTTGAATCATCCACCCAGTGACACTGTCATGTAGTTTCACAAAAGAAAAACTCAGGGTTAGGGGAGCTGTGATGACCAGAGAAAGTGGCAGTCCTGGCGGTTCGAGATTTATTTAAACCTAACCCAGCTGTCTGGGGGAGAAAAAACAATTGTACTCAGTTTAGTGTGTGGACCAGCTGTATTGACAACCCGCGAGCGTGTCAATATTGACACGCTGAGAATATTGAGAATATCAGGGGAACTCATCAACTGAATCGGAAGTTAACATGGTCCTTAAGTGTCTCGTTATGCACGCTGTAGTTGGCGGCAGGATGAAATAGAACGTATGAAAATTCCTTCAGATCCCAGAGGCAAAAAAGGCACCGGGAATGGGTGGTAAAGTAATTCATCCAATCAGATTCTCTAGTAATTAATTCTCCTTCCCGGTCACCTTTCAGCCAATGGTTTTATCGCGCGGTACTTTTGAAAAACTACAAGACCAATCAGAATGCTTCTAGCTATATTTAAAGACAACTGCCTAAGCCAGCAACAGGCCAGTGGGTGTGTGGTCAATCGCTCGTTATGGCTCGCACTAAGCAGACCGCTCGCAAGTCCACCGGCGGCAAGGCCCCGCGCAAACAGCTGGCCACCAAGGCGGCGCGCAAGAGCGCACCGGCCACGGGCGGCGTGAAGAAGCCGCACCGCTACCGGCCCGGCACGGTGGCCCTGCGCGAGATCCGCCGCTACCAGAAGTCCACGGAGCTGCTGATCCGCAAGCTGCCGTTCCAGCGCCTGGTGCGCGAGATCGCGCAGGACTTCAAGACCGACCTGCGCTTCCAGAGCTCGGCCGTGATGGCGCTGCAGGAGGCGTGCGAGGCCTACCTGGTGGGGCTCTTCGAGGACACCAACTTGTGTGCCATCCACGCCAAGCGCGTCACCATCATGCCCAAGGACATCCAGCTTGCCCGCCGCATCCGAGGAGAGAGAGCCTAGAAAAAGTTATCTTCCTAATTGAAAAAAGGCTCTTTTAAGAGCCACCCACAATTTTACTTAAAGGCGGTTGTGACATGATTGCTGAGGCGTTTCACTAATGGTGGAAAGCATATAGTAAAAATTCAAGTAAGGGATTTTAGTATACATAAAAACCAAAGTAAGCCTTTATTCTGGTTAGAGTTATTCAGGGAATTATCTCTGATAATTAAAATACTGTCTTCAGGTCAGTTGGTCTACCTAAACTGGAATTGTAGCTCGGGCAATAGGAACTGACCTCAGTACTCGCCAGCAGAGATCCACTAAATTTATGTAACCTTTAAGATTTGCCTATGCATCTTAAAATCAAGGGGGTTTGAGATACTGAAGGGTACCAACTGTAGAGCTTTTTTTACCCATGCCTCCTTGTAATACAAAGAACATTTACTTAAATGTTAATTTTTTTAAAAAAGTTTCCACATATTGATGCACAATGTAACTGATGGAGCAGATGGTTTTCTGAGGCTTAACGCTTACACAACGCGGTGACTTAAAATTACAAAGTATACTGAATATTTATAATGAGAAAATTAACAAATTCCAATTTTACACAAAAAAAACCATAGCTATCACAAAATTCAGAAAAATAGCACATTAAGTTGAATACACACTGCAATGCTTTATTTTCCTATACTTTTGACAGCATACTCTGATTCCCTCTTTAAAGGAAAATTGTTTAGTAATATTTTCTATAGAGTGTAGACAGTGGGAAGAGAATTCAGTATTCCCTCTAGGGTGGTTGATCACAATTTGTTTTATTCTATTGATAACTTAGAATTTCAGCTTCAAAGCACTGTAGGTGATGTCAAGTTTTTAGGATTGTTTTCAAATTTGGAAAATCCTCTGTCAAGCTTTTCATATGTGAATTGTAAAATTTGGAAGAATTCTTTACAGACTAGCTTCTGGCTCTATACATTTCAAATCTCAATTCTCCCCTATGCATTCACTCCCAGTGCTGGGTACATGGATATATGACATCTAGTCCCATATTTTCTTGCCATTAATCCAGGTGAGTTTATCAGTGGGCAGTAGGAGTATTTCTTGAAGCCATTCTTAGATCAGACTGGCTAGCAACAACTGAACTATCAATATATATAAGCACATCTGCACATCACTTTATATATGTCATTAACCCCAAACAAAATATAGATGCAAGTAAATTTTCTCAAGTTCCAAATATTCTCATCAACATCCCAGCATAATCAGACAAAAGGTGAATTGTAACAGAAGAGAAGATTGAATGGAAATAAATGGTTTTTACCAGCTGTGATTAAAATCTGTCAACATTGCAATTTTTAAAAAAGTATTCTTTAAATGAGGGCAAGTGAACATACCATACTCCCAGGGGCCCCTCCCAGGACCTTGGGAATACAGGGTCTGACACTTGAGTTTCATTAACTTCGGGGTAAATCTGCTTCTCAGCACAGGCTATGCTTTTCCAAATTACACATGGCCTTCCTTGCCCTCCTACCACTCTGTTATACCACACCTCAGCAAGTGCCTCAGCAAGAGAAACACTGGTCTCGGATGACTCAGGACTCTGAGATAGAGTCAGCATAATTATAGGATCAGGTCAGCATAATTATTTCCTTGGAAACATCTAGATTCTACTCCAGAGCAAGTATTCTCTTGTGTGTTCCTTTCAGTGTTTACTATAGATCTTTATTGTTCAAGACGGTAGCCAATAGCCATAGGTGGCTATTGAGCGCTTGAAACATGGCTAGTCCAAATTGAGATGAGCTTAGGTGTAAAAATACATACCAAATTTCAAAGAGTTAGTATGAAAAATAGAACTCAAAATCTCCTTAATATTTTTACCTTAGATGACTTGTTGAAATATTTTTATTTTAGTGGGTTAAAATATTATTAAAATAGATTTTACTTGCTTTACTTTTCTAAAATGTGGCTACTAGAAAATTTTGGATTACTTATATGGCTCATACATGGAGGATAATTATACTGGCTCACTGATCAGATATTAACTCATTATGTCCTTAATGTGAGCAAGTCTCAGTAATAATGGCACCTACCTCAAGGTGCTGTGACAAGAATGTGTTTGAAAATAAATGAAGAGTGTTCAGCAATAGTGCTTGGCACCCTTGTAAATTAGTGCTCAAGAAATGCTAGCTGTCAACACTATTACTGTTACCACTGTGCCCTATATCCCTGTTCCCTTCTGAAATTCTCTAATGATGTAATCACGTCTTGTACTGGACCTGTCCCTCTCTGGCATGGATTTCAACCACAAAGTTACCTTTTACATCTCCCTCAGGCTTAGAAGAAATGATATCTAGAGCACTGCCTAGGGGAAGTAATGGGATATTTAATTTTTCAGCCATGAGAGCACTGTGTATGTACAGAAAAAATTCTTTTTACAATAATGCATTACAAGGAGACTTTACTTTCTGTGTACACTTCCAACGTACACGAACATTTCATGAATTTTCATCGTTATCAGTCAGCAGTTTAGTTTATGCAGTATTCATTGCCACTTTTGGCTAATCCAGCCATGTTTGGCCAATTATTTGAGTATATTATTGCTGTTGTCAATATTATTTTATAATAATAAGTGAATACTGAAAATAATATTAATAATGTCAAAATAAAATATAGGTTTTATAAACTAAACAAAATCATGACAAAGACCTTTTCGTTAAACTAGCTAATTTTTAGAATTCAATGAATGTCTTATTAGACCCAAGCCAGTAAACTATGTGAACAGTTGTGAGGGAATGGAACAAAATTAAAGAACACGGACAAAATTGAGGAAACATTGTTGAAGCTATCTAAAGACTAGGTAAAATTAGAGATTTTAAACAATAACTTAGCTCTCTGTGAATGAACTCTTCCTGAAGCCTTACTAAAGAATGGTTATATTTGTTTTTGAGGAATATGTTTTACTTGAAAGTAAAGGACATGTTTCAACTATGC